TGTGTGAGAGAGTGTGTGTGTGTGTGAGAGAGAGAGTGTGTGTGTTTGTGTGTGTGTGAAAGAGAGTGTGTGTGTTTGTGTGCGTGTGTGAGAGAGAGAGTGTGTGTGTGTTTGTGTGCACGTGTGTGAGAGAGTGTCTGTGTGTGTGTGCCTGTATGTGTGTGTGTGCGCGCGCAACCATCTCAAGGATGATCAGAAGAAATGGACAGCACCTGAGTTAAATATATGAGTGTCACAGCAAAGGGTCTGAATACTTAGGACCATGTGAAATTTCAGTTTTTCTTTTTTAATAAATCTGCAAAAATGTCAACAATTCTGTGTTTTTCTGTCAATATGGGGTGCAGTGTGTACATTGAGGAAAAAAAAATAACTTAAATGATTTTAGCAAATGGCTGCAATATAACAAAGAGTGAAAAATTTAAGGGGGTCTGAATACTTTCCATACCCACTGTGTATATATATATATATATATATATTGTTTTTTCTCTATACTGGTCAATCAAAATTTCTCTAAACTGGCCTTTTAAAAAATATATTTTTCATTTCTATTTCGATGCATTCACCAACAAAATTACTCCACTCACTCCAGAATGATGTATTCATTATATATCTTGAATAGCTATTTATCTGGTGAAAAATTCCTGTATTTTTCAATACATGAAAAACAGAAAAACAAGTGTTTATTTTGCAGCTGTCTGTATATCGTCGCACTTATTAGACATCTCTTCCTGTCTAAGCGAGCGGTTCTCGGCTACAATGAACTAGGAAATCTGTTTTATACAATTATACAGTTTAAATCTATTATAAAGCGGAGAGTTCCGGTGCTTGATTCTGATTGGCTGAGCCGCGTTCGAAGCTGTTGTAAATGACGCTACAAAGTAACACACACCTTTGTTTACGTTTGTGTGTTGCTCTGAAACCACTTTGTAGCAACCACAACTGTTTCTGAGGAGCTACATTGTTTGGTGGAAGAATACTGTTTTTATTAATATCATTACACTTTATTTGCTTCGTTTTATTTTGTGAAACCTTGCTACTCACCTATGCTGGAGTCGGCGAGCCTCCGGCGGTGAGGACTGTAGAACTGAGAAGAGACTTTCATTCCCGGAGGAGAAAGGCCATCGCTAATATCAGCGGGCAAGAGCTGCGGCTAAACACAAATAACAGAGAGTTCGGTGAAGACGGACTGGAGGATGAAACCCAAAACTGCTCAACTACTTAAAAACAGCTCATTACCTGTGTAACGGGGTATCCTCTTTCAGATTTCCCTGCAAAAGACACCAGAAACTCTTATATTGAGCCAAACAGATCAAGTATTACACTTGGCTGAATATGTTGTTGTTGAGATGTTTGTGCTGCTGAGAAATCTAGAACTGCACTGAACACGCCAACATGAAGCATCATCTGCAACGCTTTTAACCTCCGTAACGCGCCGCATATCTGAGCGAAACATGATTCTTGATGAGAAAAGACAGGAATAGATTTTATCCTTCTGAAACTGATTGAATAAAGTTAGTCTGGTTTGAGTTCATGTTGCCTTTAAATACAATAACAGAGCTATATAACTAGGTATTATTAAACTAACATTACAACAAATGAATGCATTAAAAATTCTCCAGTTTGATTAAATTATTTTAATTTATACTTAAATGTAAAAAATTATATATATATATATACAGTGGGTACAGAAAGTATTCAGACCCCCTTACATTTTTCACTCTTTGTTATATATACACACACATACATACACATACACGGTTATTATAGTAAACAAACAATAAAAAAACTATTGCAACAAAATAAACATTAACTGAAATTAAATAAAACATTTTTAAAAATTATTGTTTTCAGCTAGTTGCCAACATTCTTATATTTTTTTATTTAACCTGAAGTACTAAAATAGCTAAAACCAAAACTATTACATAAAAATAAAAAAAACTGTAAGACAAAAATTTAAATGAGAAATACATTAAATGATATATGTACAGTGGGTACGGAAAGTATTCAGACCCCCTTAAATTTTTCACTCTTTGTTATATTGCAGCCATTTGCTAAAATCATTTATATATATATATATATATATATATATATATATATATATATATACACACACACACACACACACACACACACACACACAGTGTATACATATTATATCTCTATTAAACTTATTCTCTCTCTCTCATATATATATATATATATATACACACACACAATTTATTTACATTTTATAATAAATTATATTTAAATGTAAAAAATTACACTTAAAATTACATTATTAAAGAATATAATTTAATATAAATTTAATATATTAAGTTAAAGCTATACATTATTTACATTATTAAAAAATATATAATATTTACATTTCTATATTTCTATTAATTAAAATAAATTTCCTGTTACATTTATATTTTTTAAACGATTTTTTTTTACTGAATATATATATATATATATATATATATATATATATATATATATATATATATATATTTTAAAATACAGTATATTAAAAGTATATTTTTTATCATTATAGCATATTAAAAATATACTTAAAATTATATATATATATATATATATATAAACAAACATTTATTCAAATATAAAGTACATATATAAAATCTGTTTTTTCACATCAATGAAAAAGACTTTCCAATAAAGCAGAGGGGGAAAAAATCCTGTTTAGTATTAAAGTTCAAAAAGAAATGGTCATGTAAAATGTTGGCTCCTTGACTAAAATTACAGGCTGCTTGTTTATGAGCAAAATAGGTCACGGAGAGAATAGGACACATCGTTCACACACGTGATGCGTCTAACATTCATGAACTCTGACAGGTGAGAGATCGGAGCTAGACACGGCAGGTAAACATGAGCATCGCTAAAAACGGCCGGCTAATTTTACCAACTGACCTACAAACACACGTCTGCTGACCTTCCCATCTACAGCTACACGCCAGTCTGCTTTAAACAAACCCTCACAAGTCAAAATAAGAGACATCCTGAAGTGGACTAGATATCTGCTCCAGTCGGGTGTGTTTCCTTTAGGGATTACGGTCTGATGGGAACAGCAAAGCATGAACAGACAGACTTCACTCATTTATGAATTTCGTCAGAGTCTGCGTGCGCTTTAGACAGCGTGATGTATGTGTGTGTTTTCGTACCCGTGCACCAAATGCGGGACCGTTCGCTTCTCCTGAAGCCCAAGAGCCGGAGCCACTTCTTTCATCTAAACCTGAAAAACAAACGAATAGCGTCAATACTTACTAAGAACTAGATATGCACTGATATTGAAATGATGGCTGATAACCAATAATCATGAATTTGACATTATACATGTATGCTGTTTTATCTACACTAATGTTCAAAAACAAGAATTTGTATGTTTTTGAAAGAGTCTCTTCTGCTCATCAAGGCTGCACTTATATGTTCAGAAATACAGTCAAAAATTTGAAATAATATTACAATGTAATATAACTGTTCTCTATGTGAATATCTGTTAAACTGTAATGTATTTCTGTGATGCGCAGCTGTATTTTCAGCATCATTCCTCCAGTCTTCAGTGTCACATGATCTTCAGAAATCAGTATAATATGCTGAGAAACATTTCTGATTATCAGTGTTGATTTTTTTTATCACCTTTAAAGTTGTCCAAATTAAGTTCTTAGCAATGCATATTACTAATCAAAAATTAAGTTTTGATATATTTACGGTAGGAAATTTACAAAATATCTTCATGGAACATGATCTTTACTTAATATCCTAATGATTTTTGGCATAAAAGAAAAATGTATAATTTTGACCCATACAATGTATTGTTGGCTATTGCTACAAATATCCCCCAGCGACTTAACACTGCTTTTGTGCTGCAGGGTCACAAATGTCACCGACGCAAAGCACAAAGGCTAGAAATCTTGCGAACGGAAGACTTTTAAAGATCGACGGTGCAGAAATTTCCAGAAAACAGTCTCCCCCTTAACGCTCGCAAGCATCTCTGGAGAGAAGCAGCTTAATTGTGCACTGATTTGCATAATTGTGCATATTAATGAGGGCTCTGCTTATGAATATTCATAATTTTTGTTTTGTTGTCTAATTAAAAAGGGGGAAGGGGGGCAATCATGACAGCGCTGGCGACGGAGTGGAACAGGAGTACGGCGGACGAGTGAATTACGACTCGAGAGCCATTGCCGTGTGTCAGCAAATTCAATAAAATGTCAAGGGACGACGCAGCAGCGCACACACACCACCGACGGAGCAGAACCTGCAAAACAGGAAAGAATTATTCAAGCACTGCCGAGACGAGCTGCTCGCACACAATGAGGACGGAAAGTGCATTAAGAACGGCGTTTGTAACAATGACTGGACTTCCTGTGGCCAGCTGGAGGATTGCATTCGAAGGTTCAGCTGCGAAACCTTGTGAGGTTCCTACTGAGACGGCATCCACAGAATGACCTCGCGGACAACATTATAAATGCTTTTATTTCATTCACAACAGAAAAAGGAAAAAACTTTATAAACAGTACAACACAGAAAATAAAAAACAACAATGCAACATTAAAAATGAGTATGAATATATGAATCATAGATAATAATTTGGAGATCTGCTATAGATTAAATTGAGTATGTTATATAAATAAAATATTAATATAATGTTATATATATATATATTTTGTTTATTTGCAAAAAACGATAACTTTCAACTATTCCAAGTAATATCAATCAAACTGCAGTTGGGTTGTTTTGATTAAGTAACAATAACTTAAACAAATACAGGTAATTTACTAAATTAAAGTTAATTGAAAGTGTTTTTTTTTCATATTAAAAGTTTATTTTATAGCAAAAGCAGATAACTCCAACAGTCGTTTTTTGGTAAAAGCATATAACTCCACATTTCAGGTTTTAGAGTTTAAAACACACTGGTTTAATCTTTGTAATCTCCTCAGATGATAATGTAGACGCCTGACAAACGTTGTTGTTGTTGTTGTGATCATAAACCGTATGGATGTGATTACACGCAATACACACAGCTTTTCCCTCACTATTGTAAAGCACTGCTTTTGCAAGCTTCCGTGAAAACGTTTCAGCTATTATTTTCCTTTTTCGCCTGAAGAAGATATCACAGCTTCATCAAGTTCGTCGAAATTATCCATCCTCGATCACTTTTAGTCAGCTTTGACAAAACTCCTCTCAGCTAGCACGTCTTTTCAAAATGAAAGTAGCCTTGTCACCTGACCTGAATACAGCGGTATTCATGAAATGGACTTATCGGCTTCTGTTCAAAAACAACAAGGGCACTTGTCGGCTTCTGCAGTAAAACGTAAACTTGCGATGCCTTGAAAGTGGACAAGTGGCGTTTATCAGTTTTTGCAAATTAACTCTTCATATATATAATATATTAACCAATATAATACAAAAAACTAAATATATATATTATATATATATATATATATATATATATATATTACGTGTGTTATTCAATTATTTTTAAGTGAACGCTTGAGGATTAACGGAATCAAAAAGCAAAAATATGCATTTAAATATCAATATTAGCTTAAATGCATCTAATATCAACTGATAAGCTACAAAATAAATAAACAATTAAATGCATTATTTAAACTTTTAGATGGATCACGATTAAGGTAATCAAATAGGCAGAAACTTATTAATATTAGATTATATATATATATATATATAAATATTAATTAATATGCAATGCAAAAATAGTTAAACATGTAATTATCAATATTGGCTTATATGCATCCAATATGCTACAAAATGAATTAAAATTAAATAAAGTGTGTTATTAAATTATTAGACTAACTAAGTGAATGCTTGATTACTGTTAAGGTAACCAAAATATAAAAATAGGCAGTTAAATATCAATATTAGCTTATGCGTATATGTATATATATATGTATATATATATATATATATACACCCACACACATACAATATTAACTGACATGCTACAAAATAAAGATTAAATTAAGTATTAAGATAAATTATTAGATTACCTTAACCGTCCTCAAGAATTAATTTAATCAAAATGTAAACACGGGCAGTTGAATATCAATATTGGCTAAAATATATCCAATATTAATCGATATGCTACAAAATGAATAGATTAAATTAAGTGCTTTATTAAATTAACTTTAAGTGAATGCTTGATGACAGTTAAGGTAATGAAAAAGTAAAAACAGGCAATTAAATCAATATTAGCGTATATATATCCAATATTATCGGATATGCTACAAAAATAAAGATTGTGCGCGTTACATGATTTGATTAATTTCAAAAGTCATCAAGCGTTCACTTAAGGTAATCAAAATGTAAAAACAGGCAGTTTAATATCAATATTATAATATATATATCCAATATTAATCAACACGCTACAAAATAACTACAATAATCAATTTTTAAACCAGTATATTGTGCATCCCTAGATAGGATGCTGCCGATGTAGGCAGTGAAAGGCAAGGCAGCTCACTAGTTTTGGGTAATGTTAAGCAAGAGGCCTTAGAGACACCATTTCAGAGGAGCAGCGAGTTATTACGTCTCAATAAAACTATGAAGACTTTTTTCACATAAGGTGAACAGACGAATCATTCACAATGAGACCAAGAATGTGTATTAATAGCAGTAAGTTTGGTCAGTTTTGATCCTGATCATGAGATTTTGAGATAGAGGGAAGTGAGATTGGTATTTACAGCGATCCGTGGCGGGTGGGAGAGAAAGACAGAGATGAAAGACAGCTAATACTGTGAAATACGGCGCGAGAAACAACAGGAGGGTGATGACATATCAGCACAGTATGACAAAAAACTCAAAAATAGAGGTGATCCATATTCATAAGCGCACTGAATATTCACTCTAATTAACAGAACTGATTTCTGAAAATCATTCAGAAAAAGCCCTTTTCCTCTCCAGACGGCCAGAAAAATCTCTTTACATTAACAGCGAACGGCTGGAGTTATGAGACATTCCCCTCCGCACCTGAATAAACAAAACTTTGCTCCGTGGGCCCAATAAAAAGCATCTGCTGCGTGTTTGAGCGTCTAATGGTTACAGCTGACCTCTCCAAATCACAACCACGCTTTTGTACACCGCAAACAGGTAGAGCCGGCCGACGTGCACGATCTCAGAACAACTATCAAACAAATCAGATCAAAGTTTAGAAATGTTGTGCTATTTGTCTAAATTCCAGCTCGTCTCACTCGGTCTCGTAAAACACTCCTGAAGGAGTTCAGATGCATGATGTTCACTTGTTAGAGAAGGAAAAGCAGCAATGATTTAAAAACGAATGATTTCTTTCAATCAGAGGAATCTCAGGTGAACTCAAAATGTTTAAATGAATAAACAAAACATAAAATAGCAAAAATAATAATGATGATGATAATAATCAAAACGTCCACAAATGTATACAGACAATGATTCACAGAAAATAACAAAACTTCAACAAATGAGACACAGACACTATAAAAAAAATTATCTAAATGACTTTTTAAACAAAGGGGGAAAAAAAAGTGCATTTTGTATCAAAGAAACCTAGACATTTGTCAGTGAGAGCAGGTTGTAGTTCTTCATTTATGAGCAGATGAATCACGGCAGTCGAGAGTCATGTTGTGTCATCCGGAGCTACACGCTAATTACACGCCACAATAGAGGCGTTAGACAAGCGTTTCTGTCCCGAGGGGATCGTGAGCTCAGAGTGACTCAGGACACATACATTCACACACAAAGACACCACAGCTGTAATTATGAGGAGAGAAACGCCGAACCGAACGAGTCACACTTGAGTCACGGGCTACAAGGGTCCCAGATCATCAAAACACTGCGTTCAGAAGATACAGTCTCTGAAACAAACACGATTTATTACTAGTTCTCACTCCATGTGACTCAGAAGCATATCTCGGGTTATTTTTATTTAGTCTGCATAACAAAAGTCTTAGAGTATATAGTATTGGTCTTGTTATTTAGGGGTATATTGCATATATGTGACCCTGGAGCACAAAATCAGTCATAAGGATAAATTTTTCGAAATTGAGATTTATGCATCATCTGAAAGCTGAATAGATAAGCTTTCATTGATGTGTGGTTTGTTAGGATAGCACAATATTTGGCTGAGATACAACTATTTGAAAATCTGGAATCTGAGGGTGCAAAAAAAATCTAAATATTGAGAAAATCATCTTTAAAGTTGTTCAGATGAAGTTCTTAGCAATGCATATTACTAAT